TATATATATATATGAAGAAAATCCAAAGGTTGTCAACGTCCATTTTTTAAGCACCTGGGACGTCCTGTCGTCACATGGAGCAGGTTCTGGAATGAATGCATGCACACAAAGCACCAAAACAAAGAGGAAACTACAAACATGGAGGAAAGAGATTCAACTGACCCCGTCTTCATGAGACGCAAAGATTTGGGCTCATTTTGTTTTTTACTGAATGAGTCTGAGTTTGACACGAGCTTCACTGTCTGCAAACTTTGCTAAATGAAGATGAAACACTTTAGAAACAACAAATGAGCTCACATTGAGTTTTGAATGAAAAGAAATTGATTTTGAATCGAATCGTGAGAGAGTAAAACATTCCAGCTCTGGTTTACAGGGTGATACAGTTTTAGAAAATAAACTTATGTTGTAGGTCACACTGTGTGACCCCGGTGTTAAAGCGTTAAAAGATTAAATAATTGTTGTTTAGTTGCAGAAACTTGTTTGATGTGTGTTTGTTTTGAAACTGGACTACAGAACTTGACCAACTAGTTAATGGTTTAACTTAATTTCATTTTACAACAGTACATTTGACCATAAATTAGGTGGACCCCCCTGTTTGACGACCCCCCAATAATGAGATGGGATGTTCGCCCCTGCTCAGAGATGTTTTAGTCCTGGTGGTCCCCTGTGAGCCCACCGACCCAAACAAGACGGGTTCGAACCTTGACAGCACGGGTTCTGGACTCACCAGCTCTTTGAACTTGAACAGTCCGTGTCCCGGTACCACGCCCGGGTCCTCCCGGTCCGCCGCAGCAGAGGAATCCGGCTCCTCGTCGGTCTTCCGGCTGCAGAGCCCTCGGTCTGCTCTGGGGGTCAACGGGGACCGGAAGCCGCTCGCTGACATCTCCGGACCTCCGCGGCGCACGAGCACGGTTCCCCACGCGTGCACGGGAACCTGCCCACTCCAACACGCGGCACGTCCGTCCGTCCATTTCAACCTGAAGAACCAGGAGGAGTTCACTTGGGGCCGTGTCAGCCTCACGCGCTCTGTTATAGGCGCGCGTCCGACCCGCCACAATGCGGGCGCGAGCCGACACACACGGCCGGGGCAGCGCGCGGACACCAGGCCGGTGACACTGAGACACAGCGGGGCAGAGACCCGCCGGAAGCACGTCGTTAACATTTCCACGATACTCGCATTACCGACCCGCTGCCCTCGAGACGTTTCCACCCGTGGTCATGGTGAGGTGACAGATCCACACAAACCTTGCTCCGGACAGCGGGCTGCCATGTTGCCGTAAAACGAAACGTACTCGGTGTCGTAAAAGGCTTTTATGTTGAAAAGAAACTGTTCAAAAACACGATGCGCTTTTTCTTAAATAGAAAACGATTAAACATTTAAGATATGTGATTCACATATTTTAAAATGTATTTCAAAATAAAAGTATAGGAAAATATTTTTGTTTTATTTTATTTGATGTAAACATGTACACTTTATACAAATACAATCTTCAAATTAGCTTGAAAACAAGATATTGGCAGCTTTTCAACACAAAATAACAGTTGTGTTTCTTACTAGTACTAAAAGCAACAATAATGATGATAAACATCCTTTTTCACTGGATTTAAAACATTTCAATGGTAAACTCTTACTGACTAAAGACTGAAATTTTACAGTTTCAATAAAAGATAAATTTGTCACAACACAAGGTTAAATGGTTCATTCACTTTGCTACAGTTTCAGTTTTAAAACGTTGCTTTTGAAATGGAACAAACTATATTTGACTCATGCTTTTTTAAACTCTGAAAACAAGTGCCACATGAGCCGTGAACACATAAAGACTGATGATTTTCTTGTAATTTGTGTCACCAACCAGCCTCCAACAGTTGCAGATGTCAGTGTTTAGATGGTCTGCAGCTGGTACATCTTGGGCCCTTTCTTCAGCAGGAAACCCTGTTCGTTCAGGGAACTCAAGAGACCCTGAAAGTCCACCACCTGGACGGGATGACGAGATAAATGAGAACAATTTACAGCATAAAGAAAAGAGCTGCGTCAGTGCACATTAGCTTCAGACGTGGACAAACAGCTGACATTTCAGACGATAAGAGTTTAATTTGGAAACATAGTTTACTTCACTGCTGTCACCTTTATGTTCACTCTGTCAGCGATGGATCGAAGCGTCTGCAGATCAAACTGCCTCTGATTGGTCCTCTGAGCGTGGGCGTGCAGGGCGTTGACCAGTCGCTTCGCAGCGCTGCGCTGACTCATGCCCGACCCCAGCTGAGAGCGCTCGAAGTCCAGATTTCCCAGACCATCCGAGTATGTGTCGGCCAGACTACAAACAGAAAACAGACACATTTAGCTCCCACTACAAAGTAACAACTCTCTTCTGTCATATTGAACATGTTTGCTTTCATGCTGAACATGATGCACAAAAACATGTCAACACTTTGTCTTTAAACTGCAGAGTCTCCTCTTCTCTGCCCTCTTCAAATCTAAATAATGGATCATCTACTTCCTGATCAAAGTCCTCACTCAGACTGTTTTTACCTCCATCTCTGCCTTTCATCTTCCCTCTTCTCTCTGAAAAGCTTCTGACTGCAGCTCCGTGATCAATTATCACATCACCTGAACTCACAGACACTAAAACTGACTAAACTACAGCTTCAAAAAAACATCAACAGTAAATAGAAATCACTCAGATCTTATTGCTCAGTCCTGATCTCACCGTCTTTCCATCGCTGCCAAACTTCATTCAACTTCCTCCTCTTTTTATTTTCTACTTCCTGTAGATTTTTTGCTGCTTGACAAATAACTTTAGGCTTCAGTCAGAGAAAAGATGGGACAGTTTTTATCTTTTCGGCTCGAGAGGAGGAAACTGATGATGGATTGTGGTGTTTTTCCCACAGGACTGTGTCGTCTGCTCGCGATCATCAAATTTACATCATTGTAAGAAAAAATAGTGCCATTTATTATTTACCATAACTCCAGTTTTACTTATCAACACAGTTTAAAATCTGGTTTAGAGCTTGTCTGTATTTATGACACAAACTGGAGTCGTTTAAATCAGTCATGTAGCCTAGATGTAGACTAGGATGAGCCAACATCCAGGGATTAATCATCATATTTATCATTATCAGCTAAAACACCACAATAGCCTATATGCCACGGTCATTAATGACATATTTACGGTAAAATTCTTGCCATGCTCCTCCCTTCCACTCCCTGCTTACTGCCTATGTTTTTAGCGTTAGCTGCTAGTACTAGTCCGTGAAAAAGTCACAAAAGTTAAAGCATCTGTGATCTACTGGTATAAAACATGAGTTCTGTTGTGTGCCGTTGTGTCCACTAACCAGCAGGTACGATAGAGTCGTTAGTTTTTATCCTTTTTCCTCTTGATGAGGAGGTGACAGCAGAGGATCACAGCATTACAGGGAAAACTTATCTTTAAAAGCTCACGCTTGTGTTTGTAATCAATATTTCTAACCTGAGGATATTCAAGAGTCAGCATCAGAAATAAGAAAATGGAGGTTACAAAAGGGAAATGTACATTTATCCCCTTTTACTGCCAAGACGAGAGAGGAAAGACCTCCTCACAGCTAGCAGGAAGCTAACACAGCAGCCGGTACAAAGATAGGTGTGTGTGTGTTTGTGTTATATGAAATGATTTTATGTGACTTTGTCATGAGTTTTATGCAAAAGTAAGACCTTGTTAGAGTGTATATTACAGCGTAGACTAAAGCCGAGTGACGAGCGCACACACCCCCACCCCCACCCCCGATCACCGAGAGCAGCAGAACCTCCTAATAATCATTACGTTTTCAGTTCACTAACGTCGGGGAAAACGATCCAAACCAAACACGTAGCCCATCAATTTAAAGCCCAGACTCTGCTCTTTCCAATAATATACACTCACCGGCCACTTTATTAGGTAAACCTGTCCAACTGCTCGTTAACACTTAATTTCTAATCAGCCAATCACATGGCAGCAACTCAGTGCATTTAGGCATGTAGACATGGTCAAGACAATCTCCTGCAGTTCAAACCGAGCATCAGTATGGGGAAGAAAGGTGATTTGAGTGCCTTTGAACGTGGCATGGTTGTTGGTGCCAGAAGGGCTGGTCTGAGTATTTCAGAAACTGCTGATCTACTGGGATTTTCACGCACAACCATCTCTAGGGTTTACAGAGAATGGTCCGAAAAAGAAAAAACATCCAGTGAGCGGCAGTCCTGTGGGCGGAAATGCCTTGTTGATGCCAGAGGTCAGAGGAGAATGGGCAGACTGGTTCGAGCTGATAGAAAGMCAACAGTGACTCAAATAACCACCCGTTACAAACGAGGTAGGCAGAAGAGCATCTCTGAATGCACAGTACGTCAAACTTTGAGGCAGATGGGCTTCAGCAGCAGAAGACCACACRGGGTGCCACTCCTTTCAGCTAAGAACAGGAAACTGAGGCTACAATTTGCACAAGCTCATCGAAATTGGACAAGAGAAGATTGGAAAAACGTTGCCTGGTCTGATGAGTCTCGATTTCTGCTGCGACATTCGGATGGTAGGGGCAGAATTTGGCGTCAACAACATGAAAGCATGGATCCATCCTGCCTTGTATCAACGGTTCAGGCTGGTGGTGGTGGTGTCATGGTGTGGGGAATCTTTTCTTGGCACTCTTTGGGCCCCTTGGTACCAATTGAGCYTCGTTGCAACGCCACAGCCTACCTGAGTATTGTTGCTGACCATGTCCATCCCTTTATGACCACAATGTACCCAACATCTGATGGCTACTTTCAGCAGGATAATGCGCCATGTCATAAAGTTGGAATCATCTCAGACTGGTTTCTTGAACATGACAATGAGTTCACTGTACTCAAATGGCCTCCACAGTCACCAGATCTCAATCCAATAGAGCATCTTTGGGATGTGGTGGAACGGGAGATTCGCATCATGGATGTGCAGCCGACAAATCTGCAGCAACTGTGTGATGCCATCATGTCAATATGGACCAAAATCTCTGAGGAATGCTTCCAGCACCTTGTTGAATCTATGCCACGAAGAATTGAGGCAGTTCTGAAGGCAAAAGGGGGTCCAACCTGTTACTAGCGTGGTGTACCTAATAAAGTGGCCGGTGAGTGTAAGTGTCACAGCTGTACGTGAAAAATTCACAGAACAAGCAGCCACAGAATAGTGAAAAAGGCTAAATTCTGGAACCATAAACACAAACGTCTTTCCTTTGTTTTTATGGCTTCAATCCACTTTGGAGTGATTTTTTTCCACTTGGCTGGACCTGTACGTCTCCTGTGTTTATGTTGGTACATGTAATATGATAATTCTGTACTGTGGAGATCATTAAGAGTCGTTGTCGGGTGAAAAAATCGTTTGCTAACACTGTATTGACCATGAACTTGAAGTGATCGGAGTGGCATCAAGTGCTGGGCCGGATGTCCGTGGCATATAGGCTGTTAACCCTGATGATTGTTTTTGCCAAAATCACTGAACCCTATTGGCACGATTTGCAGCATCTTTCTGTGTATCTGGTGTAGGGGTTCCCCAAAGGGGAAATAAACATTTCCACTCGTCTCTGACTTAAACAAAATCCTGACTCTGATTTAAACAAAATCCTTTCTCAAAAGAGACATTTTGCTATTTATTTTCTTTAATAAACAAAATAATAATGTTCTTTATGTTCTTGATTTACATTCTTTTTAACTACTAGTTATTCTCATTTTATAAATCAAAGTGTCTAATGAATTAATCTTTTGTATTATACTTCAGAAAAAAGAAATACTCACCATGAGAAATTGGTTGAAATGTCCCTTTACCTGTTTTACACAAACGCCTGTTTAATCAAATATTGTCTTACAGTAAAGTGATGAAGTGTTTCTTTTTATTATTCAATCTAACTAAAGTTGATTGTTGAGTTTATAACTTCACTGAGTTATATTTTGAAATATGCTTACAGAAATATTTGTTTTAATCATAGAGAAATATTTCTTAGATTTATTTCAGTTAAATGATTCTTCAGCATTCATTGAATTTTAGTCCAGTTAAACTGTGTCAAAGTAACTTGTTTCTGGAAACGGGTGCAAAAATGTTTTTCTCTGGCAAGAAACATCTTGTTTCTGCCTTTACTAACTCAAGGTCACTTAGCTGCTCCTCTTCAGAAATTAACACACGAACTTAGTTCGACGGTCTGAGATTGAAGAAGAAACGAGAAATAAAGTGCCTGTAAACTGTTTCTAAGATCTAAAGCCTGGTTTACTTTCTGAATGTTTGTATTTACAATACTTCACGTCGGACGCGAGGTGTTTATTGTTAATATTTTATCACTGGTTTTAGCATTAATTTGTACATAAGTTCATTTATTCTGTAAATAAATATCCTTTATTTTAGAAGATTGAACTGACTGGAACTGCAAATTATTGTGTGTTTTTTCTCACTTTCACTCTGGGAGAGGTATCGGTCTTTCGTGAAAAAAGTACCCGTGTTTTCCTCATTAATTTGAGAAGTATGTACAGACGCTGGTCGTCTCCTACACTGGGACAGAAGAAGCAACAAGGAAAACAGAAACTGGACTTGTACACGAGTAGAGTTTCCACCAAGCGACGTGATATGGCTGAAAACAAGGCCTCATCTTCGTCTGATTTGAAGGGTCCGGTGGTCTGGAGGGTCTCCACAAAACTCCAGACTGGATAGTTTTTAACTATCAAAAAATAAATAAATAAAATCCATTTGTGTACTAATGGGGAAAACACTTCAAACATGTTACTGCTATAAAATACATATTTAGATTAGTAAAAAGCCCTAAATATTATTCTGAGGCAGATAAAGAAGCTGGTCAGGTTTTCCACTCAGAAACTGGTCCTGAAGTTAAAGAGACTTCAGAGATTCATGCAGTTTCAGCAGCAATGCTGCCTGATTTCTTCTGTGTAGTTAGCCTTAGCATGCTAGCCGCAGCAGGACACAGTGAGTTAATGAAGAATCACGACTCGTGAGTTTTAAAGGTTTGCTTCAGGAGTCTGACATCACTAGCTGCTGCGGTGATGTCAGACTGCAGCAGCTGCTGCTGCTGCAGGTACCTGTGTTTCATGATTTCCACCACATCCTCAGCATCACTCTTTGTAGCTGTTTCTCTGAGCTCCAGCTTGGCTCTCGCCTGCACAAAAACAAAGAAACGTGATTTATTCATCACACCTCAACAATTAAAGGCCTCGCGCTCCTTGAAAAAAGACACATCATCTGTCGCCGTTCATGAAAGAGTGTTGATGAAATCCTGAAAAGATTTTGTGTGATGATTGTGTTGTGATGACACTCAGCTACACACGTTAAAATTGATCAGAGTATTCACAAACTGCGGAGCTGACAGAGTTACAGCCTCACTCTGAACTGGACTGCAGTAGTTAAATGAACAGTTAAAGGGGACCTCTTATGCAAAATTCACTTTTTAAAGTGTTTTTTTACTCAACTTTGGGTGTGCACTTCTTAAAAAAACAGTCATAAACCAAAAAAATGCACCCAGGGGCATATTTACTGTAAGTAAATGTATTTTAATGTATATTAACGACAAGTTTAATACTTCCGTCATTTTGTGATGTCACAAGCCGTACGACAACCCACCAGAACCTGCGTTCAGCCCCTTACCTAGCAACCCCCGGGTGAGGCTCCTCCTCCTCAGTATAACGAGGCGTCACGGTGTTGTTGTGTAATGCGCAGCTCATTTCACAACAAACCTCCAGTAGGGCAATGGGTAGAGTGTTGGACCAGAGAGCAGCACGGACACAATTTAATTATTTATTTATTTTCATTCGTTATGAACACGTTTTCTCATGTACCTCTATTGTTTAGCTTAMTAAAGCCTTGTTAAAGCCTATTTGTTCGAGTTTCTGAGGTATTTTGACCGCTGCTGCTCCCTGCTCTGGTAACAGCATGCAGAGTGAGCGCAGAGCAGAGGAGGGAGAGAAAAAAAAAGAAGCTGGGACCACGACTCTGCCTCTGGGTCTCATACATCCCGTTGTACAACAGAGCTTCTGCTATTATTAGCCATGCTAACGTAAACGCTGGCTTTGGAGGGCGGAGTTAATGTCAACAGATTTTTGGAGGGCGTTACCAACAGAGCTCATTAACATAAACAGCTCTTCTGAACAGAAGTCAGAGCAGGCAGAACTAGAAAATGGGAAATTTTATTATCTGAGAATTATTTTGTGCATTAAATTGAATGAACATGGTCAGGATAGCCCACAGACATACCATAAACATTTCTAGGACCTATAATTGGTCTCCTTTAAGGCTCAGAGCATTTAGCCCTCATGATTTGTAGTTTCAGTGGTCTACAGTTGCTCTTGTGTACGTGCTGAGGGACCCACCTCAGTGAGTCTGATTAAAGACTCCAGCTGGCGTGTGGTGATGGGCGTGGCATCAGCAGAATGAGCCTGAGCTCTCAGAGACAGGTAGAAGTCCTGCAGGGTTTGTGCTGCTTCAGCAGAGAGGACGGGCCGCACGTACTGCCGAGCGTAGCTGATGTACTTCCTCAACAAGCAGGCTGGAACCAGGTCCAAAGACTGACCTGCAGGGACCTGCAGACGGTCAGAAACTGTTTGAACAACCAGGTCCTGACTCTAATGGTGACATTGTTCTAAAAATGTTTGTTTTTTTTTCTTTTAGTTTTATTTTACTGTCAGCCTCCCTCACTAACGTGATTCACATTGTTTTTAAACTAGGGCTGCCACGATTAGTCGATTAGTCGATGACTAATCGATTATTAAAATAGTCGATGACTAATTTAATAATCGATTTGTCGTTTTTTTTTTTTTTGTTCTTCAGTTTTCTCTCCAAACTGCTTTGTCACCTTCCACTGCCACATCTGCCTTTCTGTCATTGACACACATGCACAGTAGTGGTAACTGGGGTAGGCCGTGGACGTCACAAGACATTATACAGACAGGCTCTGGTATCATGGCTACCTGACAACAGAGCTCAAAGTGTGGGATCATTTTAAGGAAATGAAAGAGAAACCTGTGTAATATCTGCAGAGCAGAACTTACCTTCCACAGCAATTATTTTTAGTTAGCATATAGCCAAAATCTAACCATGGTTATACAATAGCAGCTGCATTCTGACGAGATAAGCTGTATGTTTTATATTCAATTAACTTATGATCCGATTAGTCGACTAATCAAATAAATAATCGGTGATTAATCGACTATAAAAATAATCATTTGTGGCAGTCCTATTTTAAACATTTATTACAATCTAACACACTTTGTGCCATTTCAACCATTACAACTTCAACTTATTCTGGAGAAAACTGCAATGACCTTTACTTTTTCAGTCTTTTATACTTTTCAAATGATTTAACTAGGGCTGTGAAATTAATCGAGTTAACTCAAATTGATTAATTTTAGTACTGGGCAAAGATTAATATTTACAATCACTTTACTCTGGCTGAATATGTAGGTTTGTATATTGCAATGCACTCGGTGCCAGGTCATGTTTGTAAATGAGAAGTGGTTCTCAAACAGTTTACCTGCATAAATAAAGGTTAAATAAATAAAATAAATAAAATAACTCCATGTGTAACATAGGCTACGTTCACACTGCAGGCAAATCCGACCCAAATCCGATTTTTTTGACCCATCTGACTCATATCCGATTTTTTTATGACAGTCTGAACGCGACAAATCCGATTTTTTCAAATCCGACCCAGGCCGTTTCAGTATGTGGTTTTAAATCGGATACATATCTGATGTTTTCAAAGTGACTGCAGCTTGAACGCTCATGTCACATTCATCCGGCTTTTTCATCAGTGAGGAGGGGGTGAAGGATCGATAAGACACTAACCTCAAGTCTCGCTGTTTAAATCTGTAGCTCCATGTGTTTACAGCTCCAAAACACAAGTCCAGTTGCTTCATCTTTTTACTTTTCATTTTCCACGTAGATAGTTTGATAATATGTCCAGCCTGGGTCGCGGAGAGTATCGATCCTAAAGTTCGATACTTGGCCGATACTTTTTCCAGCTCGTAGTTTCGTTAAAAAAAAAAGCTTCACTGGAGCATCCCGGTCAGAGGCAGCTTCAGATATAAACACAACTAAAGAATCATGTCAGATAATTATTTAATCGGCTCTGATTAAACAACAACTTCTGATTCGATGTGTAAAATGTAGCATCCATGCTAGCTCTGTAAACAAACAAGCCGGCTGATGAGACGTCACGTCTTTTACTGCGCATGTGTGTCACAMCAGTGCTGTGMAGCGTTCACACAGGGGTCTGATGCAGGTCACATTTAAAATGTAATGTGAACGTTCACACAAAAAGATCTGATTTTTTCAAAAAATCGGAACTGAGCATTAAGACCTGCAGTGTGAACGTAGCCATATTATGTAGGTTTTTTTTTCTTTTTGTCTTCTTATTTTATTTTATTTATTTATGTTTTGCTGACATCTGTGATCTTAGTATCTATCTTTCATTCCTCATGTACTCATTTGGAATAAAAATCCTTGAAATCTTGATTTAACCTCATTATTCTGCACAAAATTTAATTGACTCAAATATGTTTGGAGCATTTTTAGGTCCTGTTTTATATTCAATAAATCATGTCTAAGCATCAATTTTGTTTTCTGAATAAAAACATTAAAACTAATTAAAAACTCAAGTAATTTATTTTATCAATATGCAAGAGAAATGTATATTAAATTTAAGATTAATCGTGATTAATTCACAGCTACTTTGGGATTAATCAGATTAAAAATGTTAATCATTTGACATCATTAGATTTAACATTTAATTAGTTTCCCCAGAAAAATACAGATTTCTTAAATGTCTTCAAGATAACTGCTCCAGCTAGTGGCTCTGTTTCTTTTAGCCTTTGCTCCATTTGGGTTTTAGCTACTGTTCTGCTAGTTTAGCTTTTAGCTGGTTGTTGCTACTTTTAGCTTCCAGCTAACCTTTTATTGCTCCTAGCTAATCTTTTGCCATTTTAGCATTTGGCTAGCATCTTGCAATTTTTATCTATTAGTTAGAATAATGTTACTTTTAGCTAGCTTTGTGATGTTTTATCTTTTAATTAACCTTTAATGCTTTAGCTAACACGTTGCTGCTTTTATCACATATACTTGCTACTTTAAGCTTTTTAGCTACAGTTTTGGTCATAACATATGTTTTGCTCCTTTTAGCATTAGCATATATTTAGCTGCTTTTAGCATTGCTAACTTTTAGCTGCTTTTAGTAATCTAGTGTTCTGTTGCTGTCAGCTGGTCTCTGCTCTGCTGGTTTGAACTTGAACATCTCAGTTTCATCACAGAGTTCAACATGTGAGAATAAAATGTAATTTCTCCTGTTTTCACTCTTGGTGAACTGACTGTGACTCATGTTCTGTGCAGGAAGCAGAGTCCTACCTGCAGACGTTCTGACAGAGGCAGGGCCGAGTGCTGCAGCAGGATGGAGGTCTCTGAGTCCGAGCTGGTCCTGGTGACTGTGGCACTGCTGGTCCTGCCTTTCCCTGCCCTGTTTGCCATGACGTGCTCCGACAGACGGCGGTCATGTGACTCGTCTGGGATGTCCAGGAGGAGGAACACCACATCAAACCTGGACAGCAGAGCTGAACTCATCCTGCAGACAGAAAACATCATGCATCACATCGTTCAGCAGAAGATGTGAGGAACATTTAACACCTGTTGAAACTCACTTCAGGTTTTCTGAGACCGTCTTGCCTCTGTTGTAGTGTCCCCCGATGGGGTTTGCAGCAGCAACGACAGATGTTCTGGCAGGCAGGGAGGAAACGATGCCGGCTTTAGCCAAACTCACAGACTGCTGCTCCATAGCTTCTAACAGAGCCTGCTGCTGGTTCCCCAACTTATCAAACTCATCAATGCAGCACAGACCTGAAAACAATCATCAAGTAATCAGTCACACAGAAGATCAGTCACACACAGGATCAGTCACACAGAAGATCAGTCACACAGAAGATCAGTCACACAGAGGATCAGTCACACAGAAGATCAGTCACACAAAGGATCAGTCACACAGAAGATCAGTCACACAAAGGATCAGTCACACAGAGGATCAGTCACACACAGGATCAGTCACACACAGGATCAGTCACTCAGAGGATCAGTCACACACAGGATCAGTCACACACAGGATCAGTCACACAGAGGATCAGTCACACAGAGGATCAGTCACACACAGGATCAGTCACACACAGGATCAGTCACACAGGATCAGTCACACAGAGGATCAGTCACACAGGATCAGTCACACAGAGGATCAGTCACACAAAGGATCAGACACACAGAGGATCAGTCACACACAGGATCAGTCACACACAGGATCAGTCACACAGGATCAGTCACACACAGGATCAGTCACCCAGATCCAAATCAGAGGAGTTCTAAAGTTTAATTTTAAAGTGAGTTCAGATTAAACTCTAACATGTAGCACTTACAGGACACAGTAAAGAACAAAAAGTTAGAAGTTCTATAGGTAAAAATGTTTTACTTCCTGTCAGAGGAGCTTTCTCATCATTAACTAAAGAAATGAAGTCTGTTTTTTTATGATCTTGGTATTAAATAATTCTTGCACATAAACTCATCAAAGCCCCAGGAAAAAAACTCATAAAGATGTTTTAGAAAAACAAAATCTACACAGATTCTCCTGTGATGACAAGTTTTCGTTGTGTTTGTATACCTTGGTCAGCCAACACCAAGGCACCGGCCTCCAGAGCGTAATCCCCCGTCCCCGCGTCTCGAGACAAACTCACCGTTAGTCCTGCAGAAACAAGTCTGATGTCACACGTCGTGTTGTGGTCATGCTTTTAGATTTTTATGTCTGTAAGTTTGTTTGGAACAGAGCTGCTGATGTAAAACTAACACAAACTACTGGGTTTCCACATACGTGTGTGTGTGTGTGTTTTTTTTTTTCATTTTATTTAGGCAATTTTAAAATGAAGCCAAAAAATTATTAGTGCTATCAGTTTAATTTTATTTTAACGCTGCTGTTTTCTTTCAGCATATGAGAAAATATATATAAAACCCCAACTCCACTGAAGTTGGGCCGTTGTGTAAAACAGAAATAAAAACAGAATATGATGATTTGTAAATTCTTTTAAACCTATATTTAGTTGAATTCACTACAAAGACAACATGTTTAATGTTCAAACTGATAAACTTTTGTTTTATTTTTTTCCAAATATTCACTCATGTTGAATTCGATGCTGCAACATGTTTCAGTTTATTGTTATGAAGCCGTAGGTTTGATTAAAAACAGAAGTTACCTGTGGTGCTGGTGCTGTTCCCACAGACATAGATTCCTCTGGGGGCCACGTTACACACTGCCTACACACACCCCACAGTCAGAGTCTGCTTCAGATCAGCACTGAAACCCTCAGCCAACATCTCACACAGTGCTGTGTGCTACCTGTAACATCTGGCTCTTTCCCAGGCCAGGGTCTCCCACTATCAGGATGTGGGGGTCTCCCCTCACTGGGACGCAGTTCTTGCCCGTGTGTTTCTGTCTGCCTCCAAACAAAGCCAGAGCGAGGGCGGCCTTCACCAGCTGCAGATACACAAAACATGAGGCCAGAAAATGAGCCTCCACACAACACAGAGTTTAACAGGCAGGAGTCAAAGGGAATCATTAGAAACAAGACCATTAATCTGAACTATTAGGATGAGTATTTAGGAATGACTGCAGCAGCAAAACAAAAAGCCAACAAGTAACCAGGAAGTCGAACACTGAGAAACTTTGGCTGCAGAAGGAGAATGATGGATTTTAAAGCACAGCTGGTAAAAACCAGCAATGACAGGACTTGTAGCGCCCTCTGCTGGACAGGATGAGGACCAACAGGACACTTTGTATGTTTTGGGTCTGAAAAATGGCCCGTCTTGGGAGAAATTAAACATGAAACTAAAACTGATCTTAGATTTAAAGAGTTCACCTAAACTTCAACATGTGATGAAACATAAAGCATAAAAAATATATCCTCAGAATGATCCACCAACCCTCAAATATCAGCCAAAACCACGTAGAGGAAACAGAAAATAATGAGCAGTTATTACAAAAGATGGACTTTCTATAACACTGTTTGAGAAAGTGAATTAAATAGAAGCTAACTTTGCCTTTGATGTGTTTGAAAATGTATTATTGGTGTTGATGACATGAACCTGATGATAAATGCAATAAATGTTGAAATGAAGATGTTTGTGAAACCCAGCTGGTTCAGTTTGAACTCACCAGATGTCCGTAGATGGCAGGACATAAAGAGCTGACAGAGGAAACAAGGAGTAAAAATGTGTTAGCGCCGTCATCACCAAACATTCAGTGTAAATAAAAACAATGTGACTTTTTTAAAGCTTTCAGTGAAACTCAAAGCTACGTTTTATTCTGGAGGATAAAACTACACAACTAGCAGCTGCCTCATGTTGGACAGAAAGGTTGAAGCTAAATGATGAGGTGATGAAGATCCAAGTTCCCAAAACTATTGAAATATTTCCATTTTTGGTTTCAGTATGTACTGATCAAAATAAAAAATAAAACAATCAGTGCGGCTGCATAAAATGACCACTTAGAAGTTAAACTGGATGAATTTAGGAAAGTTGAATGATTCAGTTTTAGCATCAACTTAGCTTTAAGTTGAGTAAAAAGACTAAAGCTTCACAATCAAACCAACAGTTTTTCTCTGGGTTCGTCTACAGTCACAGGCAGCTGATGGACTTACTGCACAATGAGTGGAAACAGGTCCGGCTGTGACTGGATCTCCTGCACAGCATAAAGCTCCTTCAGACTGAACTCCTCTCCTGCTGAGCGCTCTTCCAGTGACCCACCTTCACCTCCAGACTTGGACAGCTGGCCTAAAGATTCAGGGACAATAACTCCTCCTGAAAACCTCAACAGAAACCTACTGAAACGTCAAAGCGACAGGACGGTACCTTTAGTGTTGCTGACTGACGTGGCGTCGATGTAGAGAAGAAACATACACTGATCTTTGTTTCCTCTGGACGTGCCTGCAGACAGGAAACATCTGACTGCAGCAACATTCATGTTTTCAACTCTAATCTATTGATGTCAGGATGATGGAGTGTGTTTGACAAGTTTAATACTGTCTGTGCAGCAATTCTTCGATGTTGCTACAAACGCACACAGACAACAACTTGACAACATGTTGCTGTCAGTAACAACTAATGTGTGGAGAAGCTGACGGCAGAATCTCACACTGCCTCTGGTTCTGTCACCGTCAACACGAAGATTAGATCAGAAAAGTTCTGAGGCATTTGTTCACATTTTGTTCAGTCTTTAGATTAGATTTTTACTTTTCTCTACAGAAAACTAACTGACAAATCGGTGCAGAGCAGTGATGTAAGCCTTCAACAAATGCTCAGGAAGCAGCTCCTCATCATATAAAGCTCTTTAACATACGACCTCAAACTGATCTATTATTGTATCTATTTACACCTGATGAGGACTGGTTTTAACTCTTTGTATTTATGCTATTAGCAATCATTTTAAACATTAATCATTCACTTATCAAGACCCCCTGTATGGTGTTTTATGACCTACTGAGTGGTCCTGACTAAGGCTGCAACAACAAACCAATAAAACTGATAAAAATCATTAAGTGTCGGCAACAAATGTCATTATAGATTAGTTATGTTGGCTGATCCATGTGTCCCTCACCGTGTCGCAGAGCTGTTTACTTGACCCACAGTGAGTTGTCAAAAACGTTATAAAAACAAACTGTGAACCAAAGAGAACGGCAGACAGGCGCTGATGGAGACAGGGCTACTTGTCTTATTGGTGAGGTCTCTGTCCAGGGTCAAACAGAAATGTTTCACTACAATAATCCACACTTTCACACTTCTCTCAAAGATGCGTAGACTTATGGACAGAAAATATTTGGAAACTTTAAAGGATTTCGCACACATTTGTATATATTTTGTGTACAGTTATTTTTTTACTGAAGCTATTTGACAAACATTTCTTTATGTATTTTAGCCTCATTCATAAGACAGCTCAGTCCAGGACTGAAGCATGTTGTGTCCTCCTCTGAGCATTCAGACAAAACACAAAGGCAGAAACTTTGTGCTCAGTTTTAATTCAGTTTGATTGGTTTGATACGAGGCAGCACACGTCCATCAAACAATAAATATGTTGCGGTCCAGTGCAGGCCAGCTGAGTTCTGCTCCAGGTCTGTTCTGGTTCTGTGCTGCCGGGTTCATTTATGAACGTGAACATGTGAGCAGGACCTGACCAGCTTCTCTGGTGATTTATGAAGGACCAGAGGGGGATTCAACTTGGACTGGTCTGTGTGGTGACATCATGGAACTGTCATATGAAAGAGCCTATTATTTAATATTATAGTAACAAAATACTAGGGCTGCAACTAACGATTATTTTAATAATCGATTAATCTGTGGATTATTTTTCAATTAATCGGCCAAATCATTAAAACGCTTAATTACATGAGTAGATAAATACTAATTTCGTTCCTGTATAAATTAAGGATGCAAGTTATTGATTAATTAATTAATCTGAAGTTGAGTTATCTTATAGATTGACTAACAATTGATTGATTAATTGAGTTTTCTCTTGAAGAGGGTCTTTTCATAACATGAAGGATTTTTTATAATCTCCTGAATTAAAAAAACAGAAGCACATCATAAATGTTTTAACAATTTATTTTTCCAGTTGTATTACATACTGACTGAAAAAATGTGTATTTCTCCTACATCACACATCAGTGTGTGGATGTGAGTGTGAATGGGTGAATGTCTGTTAGTGTAAAGCGCTTTGGGGTCCGGAGGGACTTGAAAAGCGCTCTATAAGTTCAGTACCATTTACCATTTTACCATTTACATGAAACATAACAGAAATTTCATAGGTTGCTGAATGAGGAAAATAGATT